ACCTGACCTCAAAGCTGACCTCAAACCTGACCTCAAACCTGACCTCAAACCTGACCTCAAACCTGACGTCAAACCTGACGTCAAACCTGACCTCAAACCTGACCTCAAACTTGACCTCAAACCTGACCTCAAACCTGACCTCAAACCTGACCTCAAACCTGACATCAAACCTGACGTTAAACCTGACCTCAAACCTGAAGTCAATGGCGTCAAACCTGACGTCAAACCTGACCTCAAACCTGACGTCAAACCTGACGTCAAACCTGACGTCAAACCTGACGTCACACCTGACGTCACACCTGACGTCAAACCTGACCTCAAACCTGACCTCAAACGTGACCTCAAACCTGACCTCAAACCTGACCTCAAACCTGGCGTCAAACTTGACGTCAAACCTGACCTCAAACCTGACCTCAAACTTGACGTCAAACCTGACGTCAAACCTGACATCAAACGTGACCTCAAACCTCACCTCAAACCTGACCTCAAACCTGAACTCAAACCTGACCTCAAACCTGGCGTCAAACTTGACGTCAAACCTGACCTAAAACCTGACCTCAATCCTGACCTCAAACCTGACGTCAAACCTGACGTCAAACCTGACGTCAAACATGACGTCAAACCTGACCTCAAACCTGACCTCAAACCTGACCTCAAACCTGACGTCAAACCTGACCTCCAACCTGACGTCAAACCTGACGTCAAACCTGACGTCAAACCTGACCTCAAACCTGACCTCAAACCTGACCTCAAACCTGACCTCAAACCTGTCGTCAAACCTGACGTCAAACCTGACCTCAAACCTGACGTCAAACCTGACCTTAAACCTGACCTCACACCTGGCGTCAAACCTGGCGTCAAACCTGGCGTCAAACCTGGCGTCAAACCTGACCTCAAACCTGACCTCAAACCTGACCTCAAACCTGACGTCAAACCTGACGTCAAACCTGACCTCAAACCTGGAGCCAATGGCGTCAAACCTGACCTCAAACCTGACCTCAAACCTGACGTCAAACCTGACGTCAAACCTGACCTCAAACCTGACCTCACCCTGACCTCAAACCTGGCGTCAAACCTGTCCTCAAACCTGACCTCAAACCTGACCTCAAACCTGTCGTCACACCTGACGTCAAACCTGCTGTCAAACCTGACGTTAAACCTGACCTCAAACCTGACCTCAAACCTGACGTCAAACCTGACGTTAAACCTGACCTCAAACCTGGCGTCAAACCTGGCGTCAAACCTGACCTCAAACCTGACCTCAAACCTGACCTCAAGCCTGACCTCAAACCTGACGTCAAACCTGACGTTAAACCTGACCTCAAACCTGGCGTCAATGGCGTCAAACCTGACGTCAAACCTGACCTCAAACCTGACGTCACACCTGACGTCACACCTGACGTCACACCTGACGTCAAACCTGACCTCAAACCTGACCTCAAACCTGACCTCAAACCTGACGTCACACCTGACGTCAAAACCTGACTGATGCTGATGCTGACGCTGATATGCTGATGCTGATGCTGATGCTGATATGCTGATGCTGATATGCTGATGCTGATGCTGATGCTGATATGCTGATGCTGATGGTGATATGTTGATGCTGATGCTGCTGCTGCTGCTGCTGCTGCTGCTGCTGCTGCTGCTGCTGCTGCTGCTGCTGCTGCTGCTGCTGCTGCTGCTGCTGCTGCTGCTGCTGCTGCTGCTGCTGCTGCTGCTGCTGCTGCTGCTGCTGCTGCTGATGCTGATGCTGATGCTGATGCTGATGCTTATATGTTGATGCTGATATGCTGATGCTGATGCTGATATGCTGATGTTGATGCTGATGCTGCTGCTGCTGCTGCTGCTGATGCTGATGCTGATGCTGATGCTGATGCGGATGCTGATATGCTGATGCTGATGCTTATGCTGATGCTGATGCTGCTGATACTGATGCTGATGCTGATGCTGATATGCTGATGCTGATATGCTGATGCTGATGCTGATGCTGATATGCTGATGCTGATGCTGATATGCTGATATGCTGATCAGGGCTGTCGATTCAAGGGCATTTGCCCTTAATGCCCTGGACATTCCGGGTTATTTTCGGCGCAGCTCGGCCATTTCAAGAGTTTTATTCGACTGGCACCCGTGCCAGTTAAGGGCATCCTTTGGCCCCTCCCCGGACGCGTTAAGTGCTCAATCTGGGCCGTCCCCTGAATCTAAGTTCTACTTTCGGTTCCGCAGACCCCTCCCCCCCCCCCCCCCCCCCCCCCCCAAAAATCTTGCGGAACACCCCCCTCACCCACCCCCCCTTTCCATGAAAGTTGCACGATAGGACGCCAGGTGGAGGATGTTTTAATCGATTTCTATCCAATCTAGTGTGTGTGTAGTGTCAAAGTCAGCAGATGAGTAGCCATGCAGTAGGTAGTGCAGCTGCAGTTGTAGTTGGAAGTTGTGACATACAGGTTGACTAGAGTAGTTTAGTAGTGAAAAGTATGTGATTTTCTTGTCTAAGATTCTGTTTAGGTTAGTTAAGTACACAACACTTTGGAGTCCGGATTTCAAGTCTACACTTCGGCCTGTGCCCGTGACCGTTAAGGGCAAAAATTTGGTCACCTCACTGAAAATCAGGGTCAGAATTTCAGCAGCTGAGGGCCTCAAGTTCTGCCCCCAGGGATATCGACAGCCCTGATGCTGATATGCTGATGCTGATGCTGATGCTGATATGCTGATGCTGATGCTGATGCTGATATGCTGATGCTGAAATGCTGATGCTGATGCTGATGCTGATGCTAAAGCTGATATACTGATGCTGATGCTGATGCTGATGCTGATGCTGATGCTGATATGCTGATGCTGATGCTGATGCTGATATGCTGATGCTGAAATGCTGATGCTGATGCTGATGCTGATGCTAAAGCTGATATACTGATGCTGATGCTGATGCTGATGCTGATGCTGATGCTGATGCTGATATGCTGATATGCTGATCCTGATCCTGATGCTGATGCTGATGCTGATATGGTGATGCTGATATGCTGATGCTGATGCTTATTCTGATATGCTGATGCTGATGCTGATGCTGATATGGTGATGCTGATATGCTGATGCTGATGCTGATGCTGATGCTTATGCTGATATGCTGATGCTGATGCTGATGCTTATGCTGATATGCTGATGCTGATGCTGATACCGATGCTGATGCTGATGCTGAGATGCTGATGCTGATATGCTGATGCTGATATGCTGATGCTGATGCTGATGCTGATGCGGACGGGAATGGCAGCGAGTGGACGGGTACTGTGCATGTGCGTGTGTGGGGAAGGGAGAAAGTGGGAAAGGGGGGTGGGGGCGTGCATGTGTGCGGGTGCGGGTGCGCATGCCTGTGCAGATTGCTCTTTGCGAACCTGCCTGCCCGTCGGTGGGGACAAGACAAGCGGTAACTTGGAGTGAAGGTGCAGCAGCAGGGCGAATGCACCGTGCGTTGTTTTTTGTCCTGTTGAACCCTCCTCTCCTGTCCTCTCCTCTTCTCTGCGTTCCTCTCTTCCATCACCCGTACGGCAGCACCTATTGTCCTGCACCAGCATCATGGACAGCAGAGGTTGTTGCAGCAGCAGCAGCAGCAGCAGCAGCAGCTGTGGTGGTGGCAGCAGTAGTTGCAGCATCAACGGCCGCTGCAATGCAGCTGCAGCAATGTTGGGGTAATAACAGTCTATCCAATGCTTCCAAGTTCCCTCTATGAGTCTGTTGTTTAAGATCGCTTGCGTTCTTGTTTAGACTCCAGTACCTTACTCGTTTCCCGTCATCCTTCTCCTCAGCCCTCCCTTTCATCTTTCTGTATCCTAATTTGATGGTGCCCTCTCCTCCCCGCCTCTCCCTTCATCCACGTCCTTGTATCCTGTTGTTGTTGCGGCTTTGTTTTTCTCCCCTCTCCATCTCCCATTGCTGCTTCTGGCAGCATCCGTGGGGGAAGCAGTGGCAGCAACAGCAGTGTCAGCCCTCTCTTCCAGAAAACCACCACTCCTGCCAAACAGCTTACCCCAAAAATACTTGCATTTTTACATCAAGTTTCAGCATGGCATCTGTACATTGGCAGTGGGCCCTGCAAAGTTGTGGATTCAAAATACACGCTCCATAATGGCCCATGACTGCATTTGCAGCTGCCACAAACCAGTCACCAATCAGACCTGCCCCCTTCAGCACTACGATTTGTTTTTAGTTCTGAAAGCAAACCAAAAGCTCTCAGAACCGTGAAGCACCGCAGCAACCAGTCTCGGCCTCCGTCGCGCCACGATTTGTTGCTCTTGCAAGGCACTGTCAGAATTTTCAAGGTTTGGTCGCGGAGTTTCCTCCCCCGCACACGCTTGAGGTCCCGTCACTTTACACGTACCCCATTTTACGTCTCTCCTTGATCTCAGGGCGGGTCCCGAAAGTACAAATGCATTTCATTAGGACAGAAGTAACCACAGTCTGACTTTTCGCCACTCGCCAACATTTTCGTCTGGACACGGCGCCAGACTGTACAAAAATTACTGACGCGCTGCTCGAGTTGGGGTACGTACTTTACAGACAGTGGAGATACGGCATTTCGCGTCCCTGAAACAGATCGAACAGGAAGCGAAAGGTTCTTTTTCGCCGAATATTCCTTAGGCGAACTCATCCTGCTGTCGCAAGTTCGCTGGAAATTTGTTTCGCGGCAAGTTAACCAGGTAACAGACCGAGGTCTGGACTACAAGTCGCGGCACTGTAGAACCGCGAGTCTCTGTCCACTTTTTTTATTTCGGATTTTTTCGTAGTGATGTGTACGTACATGGAACGTATTTGTACCGCGCAGCTGTACGTGCTGTTTTACGTAAAACTGGGTCTCGAAACTGCTTCCATACTTTCGGGACCCGCCCTCACATTCGAATCAAAATTCTTCCAATCCACTTTCTTCCCTCGGCTCTCGCTGCTAGACCGACAGCCCGCATTTCAGTCGTAGAGTCTGTAGGTCTGCTGCGCATCCGCAAAGAGCGGCCATGGCGGAACCCGAGGCGCCGCCGAGCCCTGTGCCTGTGAGGTTCGGCATCCTAGGGGCGGCGAGGATCGCAAAGAAGGTGGTCCGCGCGATGCGGTGCGTGCCGGGTGTCATCCCGTACGCCATAGGCAGCCGTTCTTACGAGCGAGCCGCGCAGTTCGCTAAGGAGGTCGGCATGGCTGACGACGCCGCGATTTACGGCAGCTACGCTGACGTCATCGCGGATCCGTTAGTAGACGCCGTTTATATCCCGCTGCCGACTGGGCTCCACGTGGAGTGGGTGGTGAAAGCCGCGAATCACGGAAAGCATATTCTGCTAGAGAAGCCCGTGTCGCTGAATGTGGATGATCTGAATACCATGATCGCAGCCGTCGATTCGGCGGGGGTTCAGGTCATGGACGGCACGATGTGGATGCACAACCCACGGGCAGCCGAAATGAAAGCGGCCATGCAGGACAGAGAATCTTTCGGGCAGCTCATGCGCGTGACGTCAAATTTCTTCTTCCCAGCATCAGAGGAATTCATGAAGAGAGACATTCGGCTGAAGAAGGATCTAGACGGATTGGGGTGTTTGGGAGATATAGGGTGGTACTGTATCCGAGCGGCACTCTGGGCTGCAGATTTCGAGCCTCCATACAAAGTGGTGGGACTCCCGGATCCCAAGGTTAACGAAGAAGGCGTTTTGATTCGCTGCGGTGGTTACCTGTGCTGGCGAAACGGGTTGACTGCTCTGTTCCAGTGCGGATTCGATTCTCCTAGTTCTCAGCGACTTGAGTTTGCAGGCTCCCTCGCTACAATCACACTCGAAGACTTCACTATCCCCTTCCAGGAGAATAAGGTCGAGTTTGTGATTGAAAAGGGTTCCAGATGGCCAAATTCAGATCTGGTGGTGGAATCAACGGTGGAGAGAAGGGAGGTTGTGCTGACGTGGACGCAGGAGGCGATGATGATTGCTGAGCTGGCACGGATCGTGAGGGGAGTGAGAGGGGGGGGAGGGAGGGCGGCATTGGATCGGAGATGGTTGGATATGATGGTGCAGACACAGCGGGTGGTGTGTGCCGTGCATGACTCGATTGTGCAAGGAGGAGTGCCGCTGATTATAGAGAATGGCCAGGAGAGAAGTCAGGAGTAGCTTGTTACACATACTATCAGGTTTGTGTGCTGTGCATAACGCAATCGCATTGGATGGGCGATGGGTGGATATGATGGCATGATGGTGCAGACACAGCGGGTGGTGTGTGCTGTACACGACTCCACTGCACGGGGAGGAGTGCCTGTGCTTGTAGAGAATGGTCAGGAGAGAAGTCAGGCAAATGTTCAGGAGTAACTTGGTATGATGGTTACTGAATGAGCCGTGTCTTGCGTCCAGGGCTCCATCATCCGTCCTCCATCATCCATCCTCCATCATCCATCCTCCATCATCCATCCTCCATCATCCATCCTCCATCATCCATCCTCCATCATCCATCCTCCATCATCCATCCTCCATCATCCATCCTCCATCATCCATCCTCCATCATCCATCCTCCATCATCCATCCTCCATCATCCATCCTCCATCATCCATCCTCCATCATCCATCCTCCATCATCCATCCTCCATCATCCATCCTCCATCATCCATCCTCCATCATCCATCCTCCATCATCCATCCTCCATCATCCATCCTCCATCATCCATCCTCCATCATCCATCCTCCATCATCCATCCTCCATCATCCATCCTCCATCATCCATCCTCCATCATCCATCCTCCATCATCCATCCTCCATCATCCATCCTCCATCATCCATCCTCCATCATCCATCCTCCATCATCCATCCTCCATCATCCATCCTCCATCATCCATCCTCCATCATCCATCCTCCATCATCCATCCTCCATCATCCATCCTCCATCATCCATCCTCCATCATCCATCCTCCATCATCCATCCTCCATCATCCATCCTCCATCATCCATCCTCCATCATCCATCCTCCATCATCCATCCTCCATCATCCATCCTCCATCATCCATCCTCCATCATCCATCCTCCATCATCCATCCATCATCCATCCTCCATCATCCATCCTCCATCATCCATCCTCCATCATCCATCCTCCATCATCCATCCTCCATCATCCATCCTCCATCATCCATCCTCCATCATCCATCCTCCATCATCCATCCTCCATCATCCATCCTCCATCATCCATCCTCCATCATCCATCCTCCATCATCCATCCTCCATCATCCATCCTCCATCATCCATCCTCCATCATCCATCCTCCATCATCCATCCTCCATCATCCATCCTCCATCATCCATCCTCCATCATCCATCCTCCATCATCCATCCTCCATCATCCATCCTCCATCATCCATCCTCCATCATCCATCCTCCATCATCCATCCTCCATCATCCATCCTCCATCATCCATCCTCCATCATCCATCCTCCATCATCCATCCTCCATCATCCATCCTCCATCATCCATCCTCCATCATCCATCCTCCATCATCCATCCTCCATCATCCATCCTCCATCACCGTCCTCCCATCCCCGGCACATGTCCTCAATTCCATGCTGACACACTTCAATGGATTTCCAAGCCGCTGACTTGCTTCCCTTTTTTGCTCCTAAAACCAGGTGCAAGTGTTATGGTTACGGTATCGGTCCCGCAGTGTGGTCAAGTGTGCCTTGCCTGGATCACCCTCCCGTGTGCTCTCAGGCCTCTGCTCCCACCCACACCACACCTGCACTACACTAGCTCATTCCAGCTCATTCCTGAAGCAGCACCCAGAGCCCACCCTCCTGTACCAATCATTGTTGATTGGAAACATACAGTATTTCAAAACTGCTGCTTTGCACTGACTTGTTTTACTTGACGCCTCTCGTCTCGTGCTTGCTGCATGTACGTTCTCAAAAGGTCTCAGAACATGAGTGAAGGAGCTTGTCTGTGAATACACTTACACTTAGGGTGCATTCCTGTGGGGACACTTGTGTCTCAATCCCCGTTTTCCCGAGTCGCGCCTGTTAATTTTCCCAATGTTGTGTCACAAACATCGAATGTACCGCGACGTAGGGCGACAGATTGGCAGGTTCAGTTGGACACATTTCATTGGCTGCGATCAAAAAGAGATGTACAGTTGAGTACATTTGACTGGGTGACAGTACACCCGTATTTTCAACCTCCGAGCAGGGGCGTGGTTTCAATGCGCGGGATCCTTTCCCTCGCAAAATTGGCATTCTCGGATGTCCAGGTGCATGTGGTCGTGTCGGGCATTTCGAGTCGCGTGCGATTCTTTAACAATGACGGGTCGTTTCACAATTCGTCAACGATGTCAGCGCGTTTCACGCTGACCAATAATAAATACAGTACAAGTCGCTGAAAGGCGATTCGCATTTGGGACACAACACAGTTTATGTTGTTTTTGGGTGTCACAAAGTGATTGAGACACAAGTGTCCCCTTAACAGACACAATGCACCCTTAATAGATACAATGCATTTCATTGCACTATTATCCACATCAACCATATCCCATGTCTCCTCCACGCCGTATCATTGGCTGCAAGATGTCCTGGTGACTGCGGCACTCGAAGCAGCACATGCCACAACTTTTGACGAGCAATCCACGGACCACGGCTCGTAAAGTTGTGAGTCACAGCTCATGCGAGCATGAAGGCGGGCACTCGCTTGAACCCCCCGCCCTCCGCCATGCCGGTGCTAGCAACCCCCTCCAGCATGTCAAAGGCGGCACACCATGCACCTTCCAGCTCCCCATGCCACCGCTCTCCAAACGCCTTCTTCAGTGCCTTCATGAACCCCGTTCGAAATACCTGGTGGCGGGGGGAGTGAGGGGACAAGGGGGCCAGAAAAGCGGTTAGTGATTCATGAGGCTTCAATGATCATGAGGCAGTTAGCAATTGTGCTGAGCGGGTGACAAGAGAACGGGTGAGGCCTACTCTCATCCCTTGCCCACTCGATGCTTCACCCTCTCTTGTGATCAGTGTCTCTCATTTCCACCCTTTCCTCCACTACGTACCAGCTCTCACGCCCTCAATACTACCGTAATCCTTTGCCATTCCCACTCCCCAATCCTTATTCCATGCTTCCCACCGGAAAGTCGTTGCCATCAATGCCGTAGTTGAGGTGCCGCCCGCCCAGCGCCTTGAAGAAAGGCACCGATTTCTCCACCTGGGCCGGGTCGTCCCACTTGCAAAACGCCTCACACATCTGACCCGGGAGGGGAGGGGAGGGGCGAGGGAGGGGGGGAGAGGGGGGTTGTAATGCACGAGACTGTGTGTCCTGTCACCGAATATGCACGGTTGTGCATATAAGGTGCCAGTAATGTTGTGGTGTAGTGCGGGTGTAGTTATGTGTTGTATGCAGGTTCAAGGATAGGTAGGTGGGAGCTGGGAAATTGACGCGAAGTTGGTAGGAGAGCACCGAGGGGTGAAATCCACGCAACCAATGTGAACGAACCCAACCCAGGCTCGAGCCGCACATTGAGAAATGCACGGTTCGAGCCTGGGCCAGGTAAATTCACTCCCACACACACACCTGATGCTTTCCGTTTGTTATCCTTTCGTATAGTGGACTGTTGTTGCCTAAGCTTTGCAGACAGGTGGCACACCACTCAGGGAGGACCCTTGAGGTGAGAGTTACATCTCTTTCATAACAAACGGAAAGGGTGCGCGTACAAGCATGGATGTGTACGAGCTGCGTTACGGCAGGAACTACGGTCGCTGTGAGGAGGAGCGCTCGCGGCGCGAACGCTCACGTGAACGCGGGCGTTCGTTGGAGAGGTCGCCGCGGCGGCCTGAGCGATCGCCGCGGAGGCCGGCCTTTCGCGCGGATCAGGTCCCTCTTGCGCCAGATCGCCAGGAGGGAGGATCCGCTCGAGAAGGGAGGGGCGGATCTGGATCTGCCATGATGGGAAGCGACCCGTGGCGGACGGACGGACGCCGCGGAGCCGATGGCGGCCATGAGTACCGCCAGGACACGGGAGCTTACCGCTCGCCGGAGGAAGGTTATCGCCGTCGCGAAGATCGGAGTCGCGGGCGAGGCCTGGAGGAGCTCTTCTCGGGTCGCCAGGGCGATCTTGATGTGGATGGTGAAGACGAGGCCGATACGGCGAATCAAGTGCGGGAGACGGATCGCGAAGGCGAGGCCAAGGGCGATGACGAATCCCAGAAGGAAGGCGCAGGCGAGCAGCGCGAAATGCCCGCTGGAGTCAACGACGACGATCCCGTGCAGGCGGGCGTGGCGGTGGAGACAAGTGCGGCGGAGGCGGACGAAAAGGGCAGTACTCGAGACCAGCCGCGCGGCGGAGAGAAGGGTGACGGCGGGAAGCGTGGCAGTGGCTCGCGCTCTCCAGATCCGCGTCAACAAAGGGGCGAGAGTCGCAGCGGCGGCGTGCGCTCGCCGGATTCGCGGCTGAATCGTGACGGAGGACGCGGAGGCGGTGCGCGCTCGCCAGATCCGCGGCTGTATCCCGAAAAGGGATGCGGCGGTGGTGCGCGCTCGCCAGATCCGCGGCTGCATCGTGACGGGGGACGCGGCGGCGGTGCACGCTCGCCAGATCCGCAGCTGTATCGTGATGGGAGACGTGGTGGCGGCGCGCGCTCGCCAGATCAGCGGCAGAACCGTGACGGGGAGCGCGGTGGCGGCGTGCGCTCACCAGAGCCACGGCGGCAGCATGACGAGAGGCGAGGAAGCGGTTACCGCTCGCCAGAATTGCGGCCGCTGCGTGAGGAGAGGCGAGGAGGCGGCCACTGCTCGCCAGAGCCGCGACAGCACAGGGAAAGTGGGCGCGGAGGCAACGCGCGCTCGCCAGATCCTCGGAAGTATCACGACTGGAGAAGCGGAGGGGATTCGCGCTCACCAGATCCGTATGACTCTCGAGAGGAGAGGCGCGGAGGCGGCTACCGCTCGCCCGAACGGCACCTGCGGCATGAAGGAAACAGGGGAGGCGGATACCGCTCGCAGCACAAGCAACAGAGCGAGAATGAAAGGCGCGGCGGTGGGTCTCGCTCGCCTGGCCGGTATGGGCAACGTGATGGAAGACGTGACGGTGAGGGAGGATGGGATCAACGCGACAGCAGAGAGGGGGGCAGCGGGCTGATGCACAGCCTGGAGCGAGCCAGAGAGGCAAGGGAAGGGATACTGCGGGCGAGAGAGAAGGGAGCATCTGGCAGATCAGCAGGAGGGCCGAGTGAGGCCTGGGGAGAAGGTAGGGGAAGCACAGCAATGGTCACGAGAGTGGAATTGCCAGCACGCTTCTCAGGGGATCAGCGTCTGTGGCCCACGCTGAAGAATTACCTGATGCAAGTGGGCAATGTGCGGTACAGATGCGAGAGGAGCGGCATGGACGCAGTAGACTTCTTTCTGAGTCTGCCAAACACGCTGGAGGGGGAGGCAGAGACACTGTACAGGATGAAGATGGATGAGCTACTGGAGAGGGCAGGGAGGTATGGGGAAGACCCAACGGAAGAATTCCTGAGGCGGCTGAAGCGGCAGTTCCCAGGCCACACCGCAGAGAAGATAAGGGAGTTCCAAGATTTCAGGAAGGGGCGGGGCGAGTCACTACTCACCTACTACAACCGGCTGGTCAACCTGGCGGAGGATGTGACTTGCGCAGATATGGGCCTGCTCGTGAGCAAGTTTCTGGACGGGCTGGAGGGCGCTTTAGGGAGCGGGCTGCGGATGAAAGTGTACGAGATGGGGGCTGACACGACGCTAGAGGAGGTGTTTGAGATGGCAGAGAAGATGGAGCTGGCACAGAGGAAGTATGAAGCATACAGGCCTCGACCAGCAGAACGAGGCAGGGGACCTATGTGGGCGGCAGCCATGATACCGGAAGAGAGGGACAGGGCTGCGGGAAGAGGGGAGACCAGGCCTGACACTCGGACGTGCCAGAGGTGCGGGCAGCCAGGACACTTACGCAGAGACTGCAAGAACTGTGACTCTTGTGGCAAGCCAGGGCATCTGGCGGCGGGAGTGCCCAACAGCGCCAAAGTGTGAAGTCTGTGGGAAGGGAGGGCATGCAGCGAAAGAGTGTTACCAGCGAGAGGGAGCGGCGAAAAAGACGCCAGAAGACCTGGAGAGGCAGATTAGCAGGCTACAAGCCCAGCTGCAGGCAATGGGACCACGACGCGAAGCAGAAGCGGGGATGTACGCTAAGGAGGAAAAGGAGGAAGATGTGGAGCAGGATGAGGAAGCCGCGTTCATGATCTGGGCAGGAAGAGCAGAGAATGAGATGGAACACGAGGAGGAACCAGCATATATGGCATGGAGAGGAAGGGAGGAGATGGGGCTGCGCAGCGGAGGAAAGGATGCACGGAAGGAGCAGGTGAGAAAGGAACGGGAGAGAGGACAGAAACCGGAAGAGAGGGAAGAAAGATGCACAGCGGCACGGCACCCCCAGGAGAGGTTGGCTTGCCAGACTTCCGTGCTGCTGATCCAAGGTGGCGCGTTGTCTGTAGAAGGGGAGAAGGCCAAGACGGCTATTATAGACACTGGCGCGCAGAGCGTGATACTAGGGAAGGGGATGGCCGAGAAGCTGGGACTGTGGGCACCAGACAGGCATGTAGTGAAGGGGATGCTAGTGATGACGGCAGAGGGAGGAGAGTCGAAGTGGATGCCGTGTACAAGGACTCCAATAGAACTGACGGTGCTGAAGGGGGAGAAACACGAAACGCCGGTTAGGATCAGGTGCGGGATCTCAGAATCTGAAGATTTTGACGTCCTGGTGGGCACGGAGATGATTTTTGCATTGGGCATGACCATCTGCTTTTGGAAGGAGACAGTGGAGTTCAGAACCAGGTGGTGGAGGAAGGGTGAGCCACTAGGGCAGCTGCCTGTGCAGTTTGTCAGGACAGAGCCAAAAAGGGCTTACAGGGCAGGTCTGAAGGAGATGACAGCGAAACAGGGGGCACAGGAGAGCACGACAGGCAAGGGACAGGGTGGAGAGCCCAGGATGCGCTTCATGGACGAGCCTAGCCAGCAGACCGATTGGCAGCAACCTATCCGGCTGGTGGAACTGTTCGGAGGAATAGGGGCGGGACTGGCAGCAGTGGTGCGGAATGGGATTGCAGTGAAGCAGTGGATTTACGTGGAGAAGGCACCAGAAGTAAGGAAAATGGCGGAGCATCATGCGTGGGAGTTGCACAGAGAGTTCCCGGAACTGCTGAAGGGAGAGGTGATCAAGGCAGCAATGAGCAGAGGACTGAATGACGTAAGGGCCATTACGGAAGCTGAGGTGGCAAGCTGGGGGCACGTGGACCTGTTGGTGGCTGGGTGGGAATGCCAAGGGGTATCATGGGCAGGGAAGGGCAAGGGTGAGCAAGACCTACGAACACAACTGATGGAGGATCTGTTCAGAGTCATAGAGTGGATGCAGGCTAGGCAAGGCAGAGTGGCTTACCTGCTGGAGCACTTAGATATGGAAGGAGATGTGCGAGAACCAATAAGACTGGTAAGGGAGCGAGTGACCAGACAGGTGGGGAAGGGGGTGAGCAGTGACGCGGCGCGGATGGGAGCATATGCACACAGGCTCAGGATGTACTGGCAGAATGTGGTGCCAGTGGAAGACCTGCAGAAGGAGATAGAAGGGGTGCAGAGAGCAGGGGGGCGAAAGCTGAGCGATATACTGGAGCCAGGAAGAACGCCAGCACCAGTGAACAAGAGGAGCTTTAGCCGACATTATCCATGCAACCAGGTGGGGCAGGAGAGGCAAGCACTACCTACGCTGGTGTCATATGAGGGGGCAGCAGGATATCGGATGGACGGGAAGCAGCCAGGCCCAGGATTAGTGCTTGACCACAGGAAGGGACGGTGGGAGGAGCCCACGGCCTTGGAGAGGGAGCTGGCCATGGGGTACAAGGAGAGCGCTACAGCAGCCCCTGGCGTGAGTGAACAGGAACGGAGGCGGGCAATGGGGAATGCAATGGACGGGTACATGATGAGGTGGTTGGTGCAGCGGATGTGGAGAGAGACAGTGCTGCACTGGGGATTGAAGGAGGGAGAAAACACAGTGGCGACGGTTAGGCAAGGGGTGTGGGCCTGCCTGCAGAAACAGGAGCCAGAGTGGAAGATAGGTGAGAGCATGAGCGAGGAAGGGAGGGCAGCAATGCGGGCACTACTGGCCAAGCATAGGAAGGGCTTTGCCTTCACCCTGCTGGAGTTGGGGAAGTGCAAGATCAAAGAGATGGCGCTGAAGCTGAATAGTGATGAGCCGGTGTTCCACCGCAGGAGGAAGATGCCACCAGGGGATGAAGCGATCTGCAGGGAGAAGATAAAGGAGTTACTGGAAGCCGGACTGATTAGGAGGTCAGAGTCCGAGTACGCCACCCCAACCGTGGTGGCAGCCCGGAAGGACTTGACAGGCGAGGTGCTGAGTAGGAGGATGTGCGGGGATTACAGGGATCTCAACAAAGTTACAGTGCCAGATAGATACCCAATGCCGATGGCAGAAGAGCTCTTTGACAAGTTGGCTGACGGGGTGTTCTTCACAACGCTGGACCTGCGACAGGGGTTCAATCAAATCAAGATCAGAGAGGAGGACGTGAAGAAAACGGCCTTCCACGGACCGGATGGGCTGTACGAGTGGCTGTACATGCCCTTCGGTCTGAGGAACGCCTCGGCGGTGTTCCAGAGAGTTAAGGACGCGGTGCTACGGGGAATAGAACATGCGGCGTGCTATATCGATGATGTCGTGATCTTCAACTTGACCGAGCAGCAGCACCTGGAGGATGTGGAGAAGACACTGACTGCCATAGAAGGGGCAGGGCTCACGTGCCATCCCAACAAATGCAGGTGGGGGGAGCGGACAGTGCAGTACCTGGGGTACGAGGTCACAGGGGGGCAGATTGGGATCCAGCAAGCGAAGGTGCAAGTGCTGGACAGGCTAAGGGAACCGCGAGACAAATCAGGACTGCGTGCGGTCTTGGGCTTCCTCAGCTACTACAGGCGCTTCGTACCGAACTTCAGCAAGCGAGCGACGGTACTGAATGGGATGCTGCGCGATGACAAGGCATGGGAGTGGGGAGAGATGCAGAGAGGAGCGCTGCAAGACCTCATGACAGCCGTGAAGACAGCGACAATGCTGCGGCTGCCAGCAGCAGACCAGCCCTTCATCCTGTACACCGACTGGAGCAACCAAGGGATGGGGGCAATACTGTGCCAGGAGGTGGAGGGAGTGGAGAAGGTGGTGGCCTACGCCAGCAGGAGCTGCAACCCAGCGGAAGCACAGTACAGCTCATACATCGGGGAGGGGCTGGCGGCAGTGTGGGCGGTCGGGCATTTCCGGATATACCTGCAGGGCCGAGAATTCACCCTAGTCACTGACCATCAGCCCCTCACATGGCTGATGACCACACCAGGGCTGACAGGGAGGAACGCGCGGTGGGCAGTGAAGCTGCAGGAATATGATTTCAAGATCAGGCACAGGCCGGGGAAGACGCTACAGCACGTTGATGGCCTCTCCCGCAACCCACCGCCGCTGGAAACGACACAGACAACACAGGGGACTGACGAGGCAGAGCAGGAGCCAGCGCAGACCTTGATCTTACTGGCAAGAGAGGTGGAGCAGACAGGTGCTAAAGGGAGTAAGGAGCCAGCTGACATCTGGCTGGATGCAAAGGCAATGGAATGGGTGCAGGGAGAAACCGAGGAAGATGAGACAGTGCCTGAGCGGGTGAGGGCACGAGGGCACCATTACAGGTGGTATCAGCAGCAGCTGCAGATCAAGACGGAGGATGGCTGGAAGCTGGTGCCTGCGCCCAAGGACCGTGAAGCAGTGATCAAGGAAGTGCACAGTAAGCTGGGGCACTTTGGGCACGAGAGGACCGTACACCTGCTAAAGACGGGCTGGTGGTGGGAAGGGATGCGCAGACAAGTGAAAGAGTGGGTGGAGGGGTGCGAGGCGTGTCAGAGGAGCAAGGCAAACCTGACGCAGGCCAAAGCAGAGCTGCACTCACTGCCAATCTGCGGGCTAGGGTTCCGATGGTCCTTGGATCTCGCAGGAGAGCTGCCGCTGAGTAGGAGCGGGAATCAGTATATAGTGTTCATGGTGGAACATGTGAGCAAGTGGCTGGAGGTGCGAGCCATCCCAAGCAAGAGCGCGAGGCACATTGCAGCAGCCTTCAAGGCGCAGGTGGTGTGCCGATTTGGAGCGTGCGGGGAGGTGCTCACAGATCAGGGAACAGAGTTCCAAGGGGAGTTCAAGAAGTTGCTGGCGGAGTCTGGCATCACGCACCGAAGGACCTCCCGCTATCACCCGCAGAGCAACGGGCTGACTGAGCGAGCCGTGCAAACCTTCAAGCGAGGACTACGGGCCTACGGGGAGCAGCGGAAGAGGGATTGGGATGAGGAATTGGACTGGATAGCAGCAGGGTACAGGTTCGGGAAACAGGCAGCATTGAAGGATCATTCCCCATATAGTCTGCTATTCCGACGAGAGCCGATCCTGCCGGTGGGGGCACCACGGGTATTGACAGACACAGTGACGGGCACGATCAAGAACTGGGTAGCCCTGTCCGATGTGAGAGCGCGCTACATGCGCTGCATGATGCCAGCCGCGCTGGAGAACCTGCACACCGCACAGCTCAGAGACGCCAGGAGATACGAGCAAAGGCAACACAAAGGGGAGGATAGAGCAGCAAGGGGCGTCTGCGAAGGACAGGAAGTTGACCTGAAGAGAGCCAAACAGGACACCCTTGACGTGGGATTGGGGACGGTCCGCTGGAAAGTCAAGGAGGTGCGCCCCTCAGGGGTGCTGGTCTTGGAAAACGACACGGGGGCGCAGCTGAGAGAACATCAGACGAACACAGCAGTGATCAGGGGGACAGGGCCTCAGCGTACTGGTCCTGTGACCCGCGCTCAAGCCGCTCGAGCACGGGCACAGGAGGGGGCAGAGAGTGGCTGAGGCAACAGACGAGACTAAGGAGAAGCAGAGCAGGAGAACTAAGGCAGATGAGAGCACAGCAGTAACTCCGACAGCTGTCACCGAATATGCACGGTTGTGCATATAAGGTGCCAGTAATGTTGTGGTGTAGTGCGGGTGTAGTTATGTGTTGTATGCAGGTTCAAGGATAGGTAGGTGGGAGCTGGGAAATTGACGCGAAGTTGGTAGGAGAGCACCGAGGGGTGAAATCCACGCAACCAATGTGAACGAACCCAACCCAGGCTCGAGCCGCACATTGAGAAATGCACGGTTCGAGCCTGGGCCAGGTAAATTCACTCCCACACACACACCTGATGCTTTCCGTTTGTTATCCTTTCGTATAGTGGACTGTTGTTGCCTAAGCTTTGCAGACAGGTGGCACACCACTCAGGGAGGACCCTTGAGGTGAGAGTTACATCTCTTTCATGAGAGTGGCTGAGGCAACAGACGAGACTAAGGAGAAGCAGAGCAGGAGAACTAAGGCAGATGAGAGCACAGCAGTAACTCCGACAGTCCACCTCAGCAGGGTCGTCCCACCTCCAGAGCGCCTCACACATATGACCCAGTGACCAGGGATAGGGAACGGTGGTATGAGCGGGGAGGGAAAGGGGGGAGCGTATGCCCAGGGAGTGAAGGAGGATGAACGGGACAGTGAGTGGGAGAACGACCTCTCACAGAGTGTGTGTGGGAGAGCGGAGAGTGGGGGAGGGGGTGAAGGTGGGGAGCAATGGTAGTGTGAGGAGAGGAGAGCGGATAGGGGGATGGTGGAGACTCGCTGCTCTGACTCACACCATCCTAAGCATTCTTCCCTTTCCCCTCCAACCGCCTTTCTCCCAGCGCCATACCATGCGGAAGGACATAGTGGCATGAACAGTACCATGCGGAAGGACAGGTGGCATGAACAGTACCATGCGGAAGGGCATGGTGGCATGAACAGTACCATGCGGAAGGACATGGTGGCATGTGCGTTGAGCTTGATGTTGACCGGCGCCGGCTCGCTTGACTCGCGCACCATTGAGAAGAGGCGCTTGGCGTCCGGTACCATGTCAAATATGCTGGAGGGGGAGAGGTAGAGGGAGAGGGGGAGAGTAGGGGGGGAGTAGGGGATGGGGAGAGAAGAGGGGGGAGGGGAGTGGGAGGGTGTTTTGAAGCATTGGAGCATTGGATTAAGGAACCATGGAGAAGAGGCGCTTGGCGTCCGGTAGTACCATGTCAAATATGCTGGGGGGGGAGAGGAAAACCAAGGGTGAAAGAGGAGGATGGGGGTTGGTGGGAAGAAATGGGGGTGGGTAGTAGTATGGGATTGTGGAGTTGGGTGGAAGGGTAGTTGGGGCTGGTTTTACTGGTTGAGGGCGATGTAACGCAATGTGGGGCTCTGAGCAACAGAACAAAAAGCATGTGTAACGCATTGGAGGTACGTTACAGCGACAGCTCCATCCGTACGTACGTGAGGTACATTATGATGGCGTGTTTGTCCAGATCAGGCTCCAGCTCAGCGTACGACTCTCGTATCAACTCGCCCTGCAGACTCGTCAGCACCGTCTGCCTCTCAGCGTCCGCCACGTGGATCGGCGGCCCCTCCATACTGGGATCTGCGAAGCTGCTGATCTTGTAACTCGGGATCGGCGGGCCGCTCAGATCGTCGTCATTGTGATAAGGGAAGTTCGACATGGTGACGAACGCGACGCGACGAAACGTCGCTAAGAAAGGGTGAAAGCGTCGGTGTGGGAAACTTCCAAAAGTAGACCCGCGTTGGTGTGGGAACTACCAGAAGTAGACCGGCGTCGCTGTGGGAACACGCTCTGTTGTGATGCCGCGCTTGCTGCTACGCGCGTATCACGGCGACCTCGACATTTCCGCGGCTCTCGAGCCACGACGCCGCATGGCGTGCGCGAGAGGAAACGAAGGGATGGTCGCCGTACTCGAGTGCTCGTGCTCGTTGCAGGTGTAGCGCGATCCGGTCGGGCGGTGACTCGGAGGATCTCAGACCTCACCAGCAGCGCCAAGGCTGCGCGGCTCGGAGGACGCTCGGTTTGGAAGATTCGAGTTGAAAAGGAGAGCGAGGAGGGGCGACGAGGTTAATAAATACGGTATATGTGTTTATTGCTTCAGGCATAAGCTTCGCGGTCTGTCAATAGCTTCAGCTAGCGCGACACGGAGTGTTTGCTTCAGCAGTGGGCTTGAGTGAGCGAAACGAAACGGAATGGGAATCGGATGAAGCAGAAAGGAGGGGTGGACAGACTAGTGCAACGGGGCACCGAGAGCAGCGCGGGGCCTCGAGGTCGGCTGCGGCTGTATGCGTTCTGGTAAATTGCAGAGAGAGCTGTAGCGGTGCAGTATGGTGGAAGCTACGGTTCAACACTTCGGCGGTTCAACACTTAGTCTATTCAAGTCCTTCACAACCTATCACCGACGCGATAAGGGAGAGACGTGCATGGTAAATCCAAATTATCATTATAATATGCACAGGTTAACATAATAGAGGGCCACCATGAAGGACCTATACTAAAAGTGCTTCTAGGATTCTAAACTTCTGGCATCTATCAGGTGTTAGGCTAATATACCGTATATGCTCCTGCCTTGACGGCTTCCCAACCATGGCTGGGTATGGCAACTGACCCATAGCATGAGCATGCCTGCTGCTTGCTGCCTTGGACGGAGGTGTATGGACGCACACATACCACCATCCATCCCCTTGTGCCATGTATATACTGCCACCTTTCCGCTGCTGCTGCTGCTACTGCCTACATACATGTCCTATGCAGCTTCTTAGCTCGAGAAACGAAATTCTTTTCACTTCTCAGCTTGTTCCGCTCATTCCTGAAACCCTGTGAACCCCTCCAGGGGCCTCCAATCCACCAGTTTCATCACCTCCAGCTCAGCAGCCTGCAGGCGCTTTGCTGGCACGCGGGCAACTGCTGCCACGTCAGACGCCCTAGGCAGCGTCTTCTGGTTGTCGTCTAGCTTAGCGGCCGTCCACATGCACGCCGCTAGCGTCACCCTCAGCGAGTCGGCTGCCACCCGGCCAGGCTGGAGCTTTCGCAGAACCTTCTGGAAGATGTGAAACGCCAGATCGGACACGTGGGGCCCACGGAGCGCCAGCCTGGCATACCAGGAGGAGAGAACACGCTTCAGTCGGGCAGCTGCAAGCTGCCCAAGAACATTCCGACCCTGCCCGTTCGCACAGCTTCCCCCCAAGACGTTCTGCGTCTCACCCGCTACTTGCTCCTCCTGCCGCTGTCGCTTTCCCGTGGAGGCGTCAGGTACGGTTTGATTCTCGTTGCAGAGGGATTCGTTTAGATCTGGAACGACACCCGCTGCGTCGGCAACCGCGCAAGCATGGGCGAGTGCGGGCTGCTGTTGCGAAAGAGTTCCGTTAGTCAACGAAGGCGTTACAACAGCACTTTCTGTCGCTCCTTCGCTCGGAGTTGCCGTTGGGAATAGCTGGAGGGTCTCCGGAGGCGACGAGGAGGAGGAAGAGGAGGATAAGGGGCAATGGTGCTGTCCCTGATTGGCTGTACCCAGGCTGTTCTGCGACAGGGTTGCTCCTGCCAGTAGCAGCGAAGGGAGCTGCTGCTGCTGAGATTGCATCTGCGAAAGTTTTGCGTGGGGAGGGTACTGGGAAAACGCCAAAAGATCTTCCATGTTGGCCTTGTGACGCTTGGCGAGAGACTGCGATTCAGGTGCGACGTTCAACGGGGGCGACGGGACGAACGCAGAGCTAGAAAGGGCGGCTGCGTATGTGTGGAGGGGGAGAAGCGACGCAGCCATACTCGCGCTCATCGCGCACGGGGTGTGGAAAACCGCGTTTCCGGTAATGCCGCTAACCGCGCCGACGGCTAGACACGAGTCGCACAGAACCTGCGTCTGCGCCGCAGCGGCGGGTTGATGGAACGGCGAGGGCGCCTCCCAGCTGGTGGGGCTGCTGCAGAGCGCGCAGAGCAGGTGGCGCGAGTGGCGGAGCACGATGAAGTTCGCCGAGTGCACCGCCGCGTCGCACGTCGCACAGAGGAACGCGGAATCCGCGTCGCAGCGGAGAGCGGCCGGCTGGGTGCAGAGCTCGCAGGAGCGCTGAGAGGGAGAGGAGCGGAGCGAGGCAGTGCAGTGCTGGTGGTGGAGCTGGGGAAAGGGGAGGGAGCTGAGCGTAGGAGGCATTGCTAGGAAGGGTTGAGACAAGCCGTGGCAAAAGGAATGCGTTGCGAGAGAAGCCATGTCTGAAGCTGGGAGACTAGGAATCGAGACTGGTATGTGAAAGGCCATAACGAGAGCGTTGGTGGAAAAATGTGTCGAGGATTGAAGCGGGACGAGATTGTGCAGGAAAATGGGGCACAGAAGCTTATCAAAACAAATCACTGGCCGCTTGCCACTAGAATGTGGTGCAAAGAACAGGGAATGTGAGGTGGCGTGCGACCGTGGGACGTCGGACGGCGTGCGGAAGAAGCGATGCAAACTGCTCGCTGGTTCCGACCAAGTTGCGGTTGTGAGCTTTGGGAGAAAGGCTGCTGTGCGTATGTAGTCGCGAGCGCGAGAGAAGGATGGTCTGTTTGGTTCAGTTGGGAACGCAAGGCGCTGAGCGAGCACGCTGAGGGAAAGAAAGGAGGGCGAGGAAGGAAAGAGAAGGAAAGGCATGGGATGGGTCGTTGAAGCATGTGGCTGCTCTTCGCTGCTCTGCCCATGATTTCAGCATGTTAGGTCTGGCTGGCAATGTGGTGTAGACTGTAGATGCGTCATTCCTGCCACCGCCATTTTCCATGTGCAACCATCATCACCAATTTCCTCAAGTTCCTTTCTTCCTCTCTCGGTCTCCCTGGATTTTGTTTGTTGTGTGACTCTGCTTGCGTGTGTCTTGTTGTGGTGATACGAACCGAAGCGTGATGCACGTGTCGGTTGGAGATTAGACCTCTTTTCATGGAACGGCCCTTCAAGCCACACAGCGTTTCGGCTCTCCACCGAACCTCATCTCCTTCTCCCAGTCTCATTCGTCCACGGCAGGTCCACCTCGGCTCGTTGGGCTCATGTTTCGTGTGCTGCCTGCTGATGTGGCTCCTGCTTCATGTGACCACTCTTCCCCAGATGGCTGCATCCTCCCCCTTCTACGCGGACTTTGTGGAAAAATACAGCTGGGTCACTGTAAAGATGCTTGGCTGATGTCATACGTCGCCTTCACAACCAGTCTCCTGCCTCGCTGACTCGGTGGTGCTGAGCATTTCTGCCACATCACCATAGCTGCTGAGGACTTTGTGTTACGTGGCCGCGCCGCTACTTTGCCTGTTAGACCTGTGTGGCTTAGGGAATGTGGAAACCCGAGAAAACTACGCGAAAGTCGATCATGAGAAATTGAGGGCCATTCGAAACGCGTCTCGGAGCTTGGTGGGAGGCGAGCTCGACCTAGATACTGGCCACACAAGCAAGACCAATCGGGTCCGTCCACCCTCGTGTGGATGGCTCGATGCACTTTTGTGACCTTCCAGAGAACCGAAGCTTACGCCTGTTCCTCTGGGACCGCAGACGCGGAGGATTCTGCTTAGCCGTGTCGCTTTCCGAAAACTTGGGGTTCGGACGAATGGTTTCGCAGCATATCACGTGGAGCGCTACCGTATTTCTCGACTGGCTTCTCTTGTGAGTGGTTGGCGCTGAGGTGGCCCTTGTTTAGTTTGACAGGAATGGATGGAGCCTGTGAGCCTGGCTAGAGGACTCAACAACCAAGGTTCTTTCCCGAAGGGCAGGGATATTCACGTGGGCTTGACGACAGAATATCAGATGCCAGATCATGCCGTATAATTTCAAATCGTGGGCAGAACAGTTAACGAATTTACATAGACAGAACAGATGTTTTTCGTGCGAACTCCTTATTTAAATTTACTTAGAAATACTATTCTTCGCATATTGTGAAGAACCAGCAAGTTCAGATTCCACCTGATGCCCGTTTGAGTCTCCCCTACTTGAGCTGTGCTTTGGGCTTATAAACGTTTTAGTCATTTCGCCCAGTTCGTTCCATTTCGCCAGAGTGTTGAGGTGCTTCCAAAAAACACAGGTTGTAACTCGTTTGTTTTTTCCAAAACAGTGCTGGTGGGCCTGTGTTGTCAGTTCAGGGTTTGGGTTTATGCTTGTTTATGGCCAAGAAACAAGAACCTACCGGGTCAGCATGGTTTGTTTTGCGCCTAAGATTCATACTTTGGCGTTTTCTCGCCCAAATGCAAGTTGATCCGCGAGCCTATAACCTGGGTGCAACTGAGTGAGAAAAAAAACACGGGTGCAGAGTTTCTGAAATCTACTAGGCAAATTCGCGCGCAGTGGTTGGGCATCATGTGTACTAGGAAGTCACAACTGACGTCACGTAAGATTTTGCTCACGTGACACGTGGTTTTAACCAATTAAGCTTTGATATGAACAAGAATCACGTGAAATTGCAATCAACCCGACAAGATGGTCGAATCGAACAGGGTCGCCTAAATCTGTCGCAATCATTAGTACGAATGGCACTCAACTAAACTTGACAGTGCGTCAAACAGCTAGCTTTTCCTTTGATTGCGGGCAGCTCATTCCCATTGCAGAGAAACAGCATCAATTTTCCAAACTGAAACTACCGGCCAGGAGCTGGACGCAACCCTGAAAGTTCTTGCAACAACGACTGCCCGAAATCGAATTCGCACAACTCGCGTGCGAACGAATGCATCGCCCCTCCACACCACACAATCCACTCCCAAACCAAGCCAGCTTCTTCGACATGGGAGCTTCTTTAATCACAACGCAGTAACCCAAACTTCCCATTACCATAAAACTAAAACAAAGATATACCCCACATTCTGTCATAATAATATCTCCAACCAAGGACGATGTTATAGGAGCACAGGGATGCAAAGACCATCATGAGCCAGTTGTACGTTTATTTCTTCCCTGCAGGACCAGAAAGAGGCATACAAGTGAGGCAAGTTAGTCGCATAAATGCTAGAACCACTAATAGGTATCGTATGTAGATGTGGTATGGCGACTTAAAGGGGAGTAATGGCACGTACTTGGTGGACCAGTCGCGAAGCAGTAAATTGACTTTGTGGTGGTCAAACTCATGAGTCATGCCAACGATAAAGGCATTATTTGGTCTCAAACTTCGGATTGCATCCAGGGTCTTGTAGGAATGATGTGGAATGGTATAGGGAAAGGAGTGGCAAAACGAGAATGAAGAAAAAAAAACGGGGGGAGTGGTTACACATTAGGAAACTGTGGGACAAGCAAAAGCATATAAAAGGGCATGACATTAATAGCTTCTGTCGATAAAGACAGATGTGATGGGAGTAATGCAAGGGAGAGAAGCACCTGAGGAAGATGAAAATGAGTTGCATGCGGGTGATCCTGCACATTCATCCCACAAGGCCGTGAGATTGTGGATTATGTTACAAAGAGAAAAAGGGACCTCGAGGGACAACAAAGCACAAAATTCAGTCCACAAATAGTGGAAAAGGTCATGGCAATAAACAGTAGGTTAATGCAAGAACAGAAGGATGTGGCACATGCGAGAACGATAACGGCCATGAGCACGTACAAAATAGAGTGAGTCAATAACGAGAATGTGAATACGACCCAGAAGCTGCTGCCTGGCTTTCAAGTCTGAATAAGCAGACGGTGCAGGAAGGGAGGGAAAAACAGGCAGGAGAGAGGCAGCGGAGAGCATGGACGGCGAACGTGTGGCGTGCGGAGGGTAGGTGGGTCATGCATGAGAGTATGGTGTCGGGGATCCTTGAGACATCTGACATGTACACCACACACTGGCCTACTTGGCTGGCAGAAAACTCATGCCATATCTCGAAAACAATGTGCCACAAAAAGAGCCTCCTTGCGTACATACAGGCGAGTGTGGTGTCGGGGATCCTTGAGACATCTGACATGTACACCACACGCTCATGGCCGCCAAACTCAAACCCCAGTGCTATGTAGTCCTCCCCATGTTGCACCTGCAGAGCATGTTACATGGCAGTTATGGTGCCAAATGGATGGTGCATGGTGCAAATATAAGAATGGTGCAGAATGGATAGTGCATGGTACAAACAAAAATAAAGTGGTGCAGATTAGATAGTGCGCATGTTACATAGAAAGTATGGTGGAGAATGGACAATGATGAGCGGAAATGATTCATGTGAACCATACAGGAAGGGGAGTGACTGTCAGACCAGCCGCATTGAAGGGAGCAGCAACACTCTGTTGAATGATCTGCCAGTCGATTCGAGACACCCGACGAGATACTTTCTTCACGCCCCCCTCTCCTCCCCCCGTCATCCCCCCTGCACCTGTTCTTTCCTCAAGTAATTTATCCTGAATCACCCCACATGGCTGATCACCAGTGGCAGCAGCAGTGGCAGCAGTGGCAGTGGCAGCGGCGGCAGCAGCAGGTGGGCCAGCGAAGGGAGGTGGGAGCGAGGGAGCAGGGCGAGGGGGCGTGAGAGTGAGGTAGGGGAATTTGTCTTGAACGCTGTTTGTGGATGGGGACGGGCGGGAGGGAACGGACGAGGGGGCGAGAGAGGTGAGTACAATTAGGCGGGGAGGGAGCGAGGGACCAGGAGAGAGACAGACGAATGGGCGTTGGTGACGTCGAGAAGGGAAACGAGCGCGGGCACCGAAACTCATGAACGTCATGAGGCGGGAAAACACAGGTACGTAAATTCTCAGAATGGGTGAAAACTCAAGCATTGGAAGAGGTGGGGGAGAACACAGATACAGGCCCATGCACCTGGCCATGCAGCGGTGCTGCTCGCACCTGGCCATACAGCGGCGGGAGAGGAAGACGGAGAGGGGCTCCACGTGGTCTGCTGCATGGCGGGGGATGCGCTGCAGCCCTCTGACGTCATCCAGGCCCAGTATGGCGTCAGCATGCTCATGCGTGAGAATCAGCTGTAGCGAGAAGAAGGGGGGAGAGGAGAAAGGGGGAGTGAGGGGGGGGGGGGGAGAAAGGGGAGGGGGGACAAGGTGAGAGGGAAGAATTGAGAAGGGGAATGGGGAGGAAAGAGAGGTAATGGGGCGGGAGGGGAGGAACATTGTGCAGATTCAGTGGGGTTGACTTCGGAAAGAGCGGGATTGAGAGAGGAAAAGGTAACTCAGGATGGGCAATAGAGGGTATCCTGCATCCATAACCCATTCAACGGTGGGTATCCTGCAGACATACCGCGTCAATGGTGGGTATCTTGCAGCGCACGAACCACCGCAGCACCTGCTCCCGGAAGCACTTGCCGGCGTCAATCTGAATGTGCCGCCACTCCTCGCCAGGAGACAAATCTAAGCAAACGGAATCCGTCAGGTTTAATGAATCCGTCAGCTTAACGGTATCCGTCAGGAGAGTGGAATCACCACCTGGGCCATCAGCAGTCTCTCTGGAACTCGGCTGGGCTACTCCGTTGGAATCACAGCCCTCGTCTGAACGATCACTGCGTACAGTCACAGCTCCATCCACTATATGAGGTCGGAACCGGTATCGGATCATAAGCGACGGGTTGCATCTGCAGGCGACGAAACCGCAAATGAATGTTACCAGCTGGTCGAATGTTACAAGTAAATAACAGCTGAAGTTACATTCTCGCAATCCTGGAATGCGAGAAGGGCCAGAAGCGATGCGATAAACGGTTACCAACACGGCGAACGGCGGTGACCAGCACGCCATGTTACAAGCAATCACCAGAAGCCCGAATTCGCTCATTACCGATAATTCGGGTTTCGTTCCGGCGGTTCCGCGAGTGCCTTGTGGCAGACGGCACACGGCGGGTCAGTCGGCTGTGTGACGCAAAGAGGAGTGGGGACTCCCGTCGACGACCCCGTTCCTAAGAATATGATCTCCGACAACCCGCTACTGGACCGTTCGTTACTGGACCGCGAGGCCATGGAGGACGGCTAGATGAAGCCAAATCAAGCCTACAAATGACAGACAAGTGCCGAGTCCCGACTAACTTGAAAACCGCAACTAGAATGAATCATGCTATACAAAATGCCAGTCAATCATGCCACCGATACTCCTTTCCATGCAGAATATCCATATCCATGACTCTACCGGGAAAATGCCTGTGGGTATGGAACCAGACTCCCTATGGGAAAGATCCGAAACGAGCGATCATCCCCGTTTGTGAGTTGCATTCGCGTTAGGGCGTGCCATGTTTACATTCTTAAACCTCGGTTCTAGAAAAAAAACATGTCAATATTGTCACCAGGGTAGATAAAGGTTACCATTAGTGATTCATATTAGTGGTTTGTTCTGGCAAACTCGAACCCTTCAGGGCATAATAAATGCCCTATTGAAATCACACACACACCCACTTCCTTGAAATTTTCAGCCGTTATTGGTCTTTGCCTCTTGCCTCCTCTTGATCGCTCTTTCACCTCACCCACTGCCGCCTCCTCCCTGCTGCCGCCCCGCCTCCCCCTCCTCCCTGTGCTCCATCCCTCCTCGCTCTCATTCGCTGCTGTAGTGTCATGCCCTGATTGGCTCCTGTGGCCGGGTGATGGGTGAGAGCGACGAGATATACACGTTGCAATGAGAAGAAAACAAGCACGAACACGGGCAATAGGAGCACCTCAATATTTCTAATGCCAAAGCATACCTGAATCAACGGCACTCCAACAATGCCAGGTATCCCCCTCGCCCTCACAGCTCTTGTCTCACCTGATTTCCATGCCATTGGCTGCGTACTTGCCGCATCCATCGCCCCATCCCCTCCTTCCTTTCCTTTGCCTACTCCCCCCCTTCTTTCCCTCCCTTCTGATCCTGCCGCTCCTCCGCCCCCACCTCCTGCTCCCACACCCCCATCATCTGGCCTTGCACCAGTCGCTTCTCCAAGTGACCCTCTGACCCTCCCAACACCTCCCGAGCCTCTGCTCCAGCCCCCTCTCACGGGTGACTCTGCTCGTACACTCAGGCCTGTTCCTTCCACTGCACCCTCCCCACCAATATGCTCTCTCCCTCCTTCTAATTTTCCTGCCTCTCCTCCATATCCCATTTCTGCTTCTTTCCTGTCCCCTGCTCTGTCTCTAGCTCCGTCTCCTCCGCTCCTCCCGGCGCCCTCGTCCGAACTCCACCCCGCAATCGGCGCCTCCTCATCCAGGCTCGGCAGGCCCTTCCGAGCCTTCTCATACCGAGCCACATCGGTTCGGGCGGGGGTAGGCCCAAGCAGCAGAGGATCAGGTTCGGAGCGCTGGCTCTGCGCGCTGCTGCTGGGGGTGCGGTCTAGAGAAAGGGGGGTGATGACCCCAGGGGAAGCGGCAGAGGAGGAATGAGAGTAGGCGGAGGAAGGGAGGGAGATGATGTGGGGGGAAGAGGCTGGGGATTCAGAGCCTACACTCACACCAGTGGCTGCTCCTGCTGCCCCTGCTGCTCCCGCTGTTGCTCCTGCTGCTCCAACCGCCCCCTGTGCTGCTCTCCTTGCAGTACCTCTCGCTGCTGCTGCCATTGCTGTGGCTTCCTCAATAGCTTCTGCTGCTGTCCCCCTTCCCGGCGCCCCTATGCCTTCTCTCCCTGTTTCAAAACCACCCTCGGCTCTTCTCACATTTGGCTGAAGCTGCAGCGAGGGTGAATTCCCCGTGGTAGCACCTGAAGGTGAGGAGGAGTACGAGGCGGTGGAGTGCGGTGGCGGGTCTCTGAGGTAATTCTGCTGCAGCTGCATCAGCTGAGCCTTGGCTCGCCGCAGCTTCTCCAGAACACTGGGACTGCCCCCCCCTACACCAGAACTCCCACCCCCCACCCCTGAACCCCCACTCTCCATCCCCCCCCTACTCCTTCCCTCACCTGACACTCCATCCTCTCCCCCCACCCCGCCTCGTCCTGCACTCGCCCCCTCCCTCAACGCCAACCTATCCCTGCCGGTGCCACTCCCCTCCGCCGCTGCTGCTTCCGCCGTTGCCCCTGCAGCCCTCTTGACGGTTTCAAAGAAGAGGGCCGTGCGGGCAGCACGGGCAGGCGAGGGCGAGGCAGAGGGAGACGGCCAGTACCCCACTCCACCTGACGCTGCTGCAGCCGACGCACCTGCCGCTGCGTTTATCGAGGACGGCTTTATGGGGGACAGAGCAGATGAGGGGGGGCGGGCGGGGGAGCCTGAGCCGGCTCCTGCTCCTGCTGCTGCTGCTGCTGCTGCTGCCTTGAATGGGCTGCCGAACGCTGCTGTGCTGGGGATGTTATCAGCACCTTCATATGAACCCTTGGTGACTTCTGAAGAGATCCCTGCAGTGATCCCCATCTCCCTCTCCCTCTCCCGCTCTCTTGCCCCTCGACTCCAAGCCCTCACAGGTGATGGAGTTCCCACAATCGCCGCTCCCTCTGCTGATGCATCCCTCACATTCGCTCCTCCCTCTCCTCCTGCATCCCTCACACTCGCCCCTCCTACTGCTCCTGATGCTCCCTCCACTCCTCCCACCAGCCCTTGCAGCCTCACCTCTCCTTCCACTCCTGCTGCCTCTGCCTCCCCCTCCCCGCTCCCACCCATCCCTGCTGCCCATCCATCAGCCCCCGCTTCCCATTCCGAACTCTTGTTTCGTCCCATGTCCCTCCCGCCCTCCCATCCTCCCACTCCACCCTCCTCCCCACCAATCCTCTCCGCTTCCCACCCACCTGCTTCTCTGCCTTCCTCCTCACCAACCCCCTCGCCCGACCCCCCTCCCACCTCACTGCACTCCTCCCCACTCACCCGCTCGCCCTGGAGATCATACACAGCCACAAGATGGTGCGCGGAGCGGCAGGGGCGCAGCACAGGAGCCAGGCGGGGGGGCAGGGGGAGGGGAGAGTGTGCGGGCAGGGGAGAGGATAGGGCGGAAGGTTCAGGTGGGGGTAGGAGGAGGGGCGAGGACGCGGGAGAGGGAGAGGAGAGACTGGCGGGGTCAGTAAGAGGGAAGGGGAGGGAGGAGGGATTGGATGGAGGCACAGGAAGGGTGGATTGCTGTTGAGTGCTGGTGATGGGGAGTAGGGGCGGAGAAACAGCAGCAGCTGCTGCTGCTGCAGGTGCTGTTGCTGCTGGGGCTGGTTCAGCTGTTGTTGCTGCAGTGCTTGCATTGTGCGCAGCGGTGGGCTGCTGTGCCTCACTTGCAGCAGCAGCACCACTCGGCTGTGACTCGGATGGAGGAGCAGCAGTAGCGAACGTATCACTGGCCGCATGCTCGTGCTCATGTCGATCTTGATATTGATGCTCATGCTCATGCTCATGCTCATTCCCCTGCTCGTGCTCTCGCTCCTGCTCGTGCTGATGTTGATGCTGAGTGGGCAGAAGGCCGTGACGTTGCATGAAGGCAGTGCGTGCAGCGATGAGAGCCGAGGCAGGCTGCAAGCAATGCGGGAGCAACAGCATGAGGAGGGAGGGAGACAGACGCCCCTGAAACAGGTTCACGGAGGTTCACGGTGCAACAGGCAGACGTTCAAGAAGGCACATGTCACATGGCATGAGGCACATGGCACATGGCAGTCCTGCATGTCACGCATTACATTCTTATCTTACCCACCCACTCACCTGAGCATCACACGTGTCCGTCAGGTCGAACAGCTGCAGCGGCACAGGCACGTGGTGTTTTGGGGAAGGGGGGTTCTCAAGAGCACCCTGCAGACACTCACGTAACACGGCAACGAGCCAGTCACCCACCTGAGCGTCACACTTGTCTGCGAGGTCAAACAGCTGCAGCGCCACAGGCACATGCCCATCTGCCTCGGCCATCTCCACCTGCTGCAGCCAGTGCCACGCCGACGACAACCCCCCTGGTTCCCCTCCTCCTCCCCCTACCGTCGACATCCCTGCAGCAGAGCCAGCAGTGGAGGCAGGGCGATGAGCAGGAGAGAGGCCTGCAGGCTCCTCACCCCAGGCTGGGCGAGCAGCAGGCAGGGCGCTGCTGCCATCACCAGGCTCCTCGCCCCCTGCTGCTGCTGCTGCCGGCACGGGCTGCACTGTGGCCGCCCCTCGCAGCAGCTCCAGAGCACGCACGTCCTCGTCACTCCACTCCTCATCCTCCTCCTCCCCTCCCTCACTCGCTCCCTCACTCATCCCCTCTCTCCCTCCCTCGCTTCCCCACCCTGCCGCCACCATCTCCCCCTCACCCGCTCCACTCTGCACCTTCTCCTCACGAGCCTCAAGCGTCTCAAGTGCCAATGCCTCCTGCCGCCGCTCATTGCTCACACCTCCCTCCCCAGTGCCCTCCTTCCGGCCCTCACCTCTACCCTGTGCACCAGCCGCAGCACTGGCAGCAGCAGCAGCGGCAGCAGGAGCGGCAGCGACAGCGGCAGCGGCACCAGTGGTGGTATTTGCACTCCTGTCATCCCTCCACAACTCCCCTCCATACTCTTCCTCCTCCTCTCCAACCCCCTCACTCCCTACACCTCCTTCACTCTCCCCTTCCTCCCGTCCCCCCTCACTCGCCCCCTCTTCCCTCCCACCCTCCCACCGCTGCTCCATCTCCTCACCCCTCACCTCCCACCTGCCTCGCTCCCTCGCCCCAATGCCCCCAACCCTCTCTTCCCCCCGTACCCCCACCGTCACCCCCATCTCGCCATCCCCCATTCCGCCCCTGCCTCCCTCCATCTCCCCCCTGCTTCCTCCCATCTCCCTCTGGCCTTCCCCCATCTCCCCCCCGCCTCCCCCCAGCTCCCCCCGGCTACCTCCCGCCTCCCCCCTGTGCCCCGCGCCACCCCCCATGAGGAGCAGCAGCTCGTGGCGGAGGGCAGCAGCGTCCACGGGCATTCTCCCCGCTGCCAGCGCCTGCTCCAACTGCCGCAGGCTCTGCTGCACCGCGCTCTCTTCCCCCTCGCCCCCGTCCTCCTCCCCTGTACCTGCCCTCTCGCCCCCCTCCCCTGGCTCCGCCCCTGCCTCCCCTCTCTCGCCTCTCATTCCCCCCCTCCCCACTTCCCTCCTCTCCCCATCCCTCACCTCCACACTCCCCGCTCTTGCTCCCCCGCTCCTGCCGCCACCTCGCCCGGGCAGCTCCTGAATATTTTCCCTCTGCCCGGAACCGTCTGCCTGCCCGTCGCCCTCCAGAAGCCCCCCAAAGTCGTTGAGAGTGTGGGGGAAGCCGAAGAGAGAGAGGGCCACGGCCCTCGCCTCCTCTTCGTAGTCACACGCGTCCTCCTCCTCCCCCTCCGCCTCCCTCCCTCCCTTCTCTCTCCTCCCTCCCTTCTCTCTCTTCCCTTCTGTCCTATCCATCCCTCCCATCTCTCCTTTCTCCCCTTTCCCGTCCGGTTCTACAACCCTCTGACTGTCGCTGGCTCTGCTTTGCTGCGCTCCAGTTACCTCTGCATCAGCAGCAGCAGTAGGGGAACCAGTAGCAGTGGCAGCAGCAGCAGCAGCAGATGCATCAATGCTCCCTGCTCCACTATTTCCTCCACCTTGACCCACCTCCCTCTCTCCTTCCCCATGCCTCTCCTCCTCCCCATCCCGCTCCCCCGTCCGCTCCCCCTCCCCCTGCCTCTCCTCCCCATCCAGCTGTAGCGTGGCCAGGGTGCGAAACAGGAAGTCGCCCCCTCCCCTGTAGCGGTAGGCTGTGGCCGCGCGACCCAAGGCGCCAGGCTTGAACACAGCTTCGACCAGGCTCGGGGGGAGAAGACCAGCCTTGGCAGCAGCAGCATCAGCATCGGCATCAGCTTCAGCAGCAGCAGCAGCAGCATAAGCAGCAGCAGCAGCGGATTCGCCAGCACCATCAGCACTGGCACGATCACTACCAGCAACACGAGCAGCGCCTTCAGCAGCACTTTCTCCCCTACCCCCTTCCCGTCTGCCTCCTCCCTCTTCTGCCTTGAGCACCTTGGTCCGACACAGAATACCCTTAGCGGACCTGCTTATAAGGGAACCTCCACCTGCCCCATCCACAGCACAAGCACCGCTGGTAGACCCAGCAGCAGCAGCAGCAGGGGTGGCAGGGCCGGCAGTGGCAGCAGAAAGGCTGTCCTCCTTGAGTGCGGCAGCAGAGTCGGCCTCCTTGAGTCGCCTGAGCAGCCCAGCGCGCAGGGCAGCAGGCAGGGGCGCGAAGGGGTCGCTGGGCCCGGGGGGACTGGTGGTGGGGAGCAGGGCGTGTGACTGGGGGTGTGCGGGCGAGAGCAGCTGGGGGTGCGGATGCGTGTGTGCGTGAGAAGTATGGGCGTGAGAGGCGTGCGTGTGAGCAGTGTGAGAATGATTAGTGTGCAGAACAGTGGTGGGGCTTGATGGGTGCATTGGTGTGTGGTGATGAGTAACGCTGTGCGGGTGGTAACCCATGGCATGTTGCCCCTTGGCTTTCTGTGCGGGCGGCAGCAGGTCTGGTGGGGCGCCCATGGCATGTGGCTCAAGATCGGCTGGTTCTGACGCATACACATGCATGGGAGCCGCTGTAGCAGCAGCAGCAGCAGCAGCAGCATCACCTTCGCCACCTGACGCATGCGCATGCATGGGAACCGCAGCCGCAGCAGCAGCAGCAGCACCTGAAGCACCTGCGCCATTTGAGATGTCTCTACTGCGTTCCTTTACGTCATTGGACGGACCGGCATGGCGGTCCACATCCATCCCACTGCTGTAATCACCAACACCACCATTAGCGCCACCACTCGCACCATCAGCATCAGCATCAGCATCAGCATCAGCATCAGCATCAGCATCAGTGCCATAAGCGGTGCCACCAGCACGGGACCCAGCATCAGCACCATGCTGCTCCGTCCCTCGCTCTCCACCCATCGCCTCCATCCTCCCCACCTCTTCCTCTTCTCTGCCCCGCACACCCACCATTCGCTGCTCTGCCTCTACCCGCCTAAGCCCATCCTCATACCGCCTCTGCCTCGCCTCCAGCCTCTCACTCCTCTCCCTGTACCCCTCCTCCTGCTCCTCAGTTCCTGTCACTGCTTCCCTGCGCTCCTTCCCGCTAGCATGCACGTCCGCATGCTCTAATGGTTCCACCTGAGCTTCCACCTGAGGTTTCACCTGAAGCAGCCCCAGCTGCTGCATCCAAGGGTCGTCGTTGTCCTCATGCACCTGCTGCCCCACATCCCTCCCCTCCGCAGCCCACCTTTCCACCTTCGACAAGTCCCCCCCCTCCTCCCTCCTCGCCCACCTCATTCCTTCCCCCTCTCCTACCGACCCCTCTCCCCACCTCTCTCCTTCCCCGTCCGCCCTCTCCCCCTCCCCTTCCACCACCTCTTCAATCTCTGTCGTCCCTCTCCTCCCTTTCGACCAGCCGCCTAAGGCCCCTCCTGCTCGCCCCGCCCTCCTCCCGTCGGGCCCTTTCGTCACCTCTCCCACCCTCTCCTCCCCAGCGCCGTCCTTCCGCATCCTCTCCCCCTCCCACTCCCCCTCCCTCTCCCCCGCTTTCTCCTCTCCCCCCACCCCTCCTCTTCCCCCCTTCCCTCCCCCACCCCCTCCGCCTGCACCCTCCTCTCCCCCCAACTCGCCCTCACTGTACGTGCTCAGGGGGAGAGGCACGAACGAGACGAGGGACGGAGCCACGTCAGCAGCGAACGCGGATTGAACGGGGGGGGATGTTGCTGCAGGCATCTGTTGTTCACCTGACGCATGCGAGGGAATAGAGAGGGACTGATGCGACATCATGGAGTGAGACTTTTGCGACAGGGAGAGGGAAGAGTCAGACCTCAGCCGAGCTCCCGCCACGATCTCATGAAACGGCACCTCGCTCACTCCATCCCCTCTCTCCGCTTCCTCCCACTGCTGCTCCTGCTGATACCCCTCCGGCCCTCCCCTTGTCGACCAGCCAGCTCTGGCACCGTCCTCCTCCTCCTCCTCCTCCTCCTCCCCGGGCTTGCGTGGCAGGGAGAAGCGGTTCAGAGCGGAGGGCGTCCTGCGCAGCAGATAGGCTGCTGTTGGCGGGGCGTTGTTCTGCTGCTGCTGTTGCTGCTGCTGTTGCTGTTGCTGTTGCTGTTGCTGTTGGTGCTGCTGTTGCTGCTGGTGGGAGGGGCCTTGGTAGGCTTGCTGCTGCGTCTGCTCCTGCAAGTCTCGCGGGGGTGCATCCGAGCGCTGGTCACGCGCGTGGGGGCGAGAGGGGGGTGACGGGCCCGCGGGATTGTGGGGGTGCGAGGGGAGGTGAGGGGGGAACATGGTGGGGGAGGAGTCACTCCCGCAGCTGCCATACCCACCGTAGCCACCATACCCGGCAAAACCAGCATAGTCAATGTGGCTGTTCGGAAGGTAGGTTTGGGGGAGCGGCAGTGGGGAGGACGCGTCAATGTGGCTGTCGGAACTGGCGCCATCAGGGGACAACAGCCCCTCTTGCCGCCTGTCCGGGGACAACCCTTCCCGCTTCCCTTCTGGAACCACCACTCTCCGCTCACCATCTCGAAACGCCTCTCTCGCCTCTCTCTGCTTCCCTCCCTTGGCAGCCGCCGGAGTGCTGTAGTAAGCCCCTTCATTCCTCAAATACGGATTCTCCTCTGGACTCACCCACCCCTCCTCCCACCCTGCTTCACCCCTCTCCACCGCACCTGCAACCCCCCCTCTCCTGCTCGGCCCTACACCACCGCTGCTACAACCGCCGCCACTCGTAGCTACATCCGCATCCCCACCAACCCGTGTCTTCCCGCGCTGCCGCCGCTCCTCCGCTGGTTTTCTCTTCCCCTTGCTGGCAGCTTGAAAGCTGTCGTAGTAAGCGGCACCAGGCACGTAGTACGGATCACTGCTGGAGTCCCTGTCCGCGTTAGCGCTACCCCCGCTATAAGCTGAAAGTGGTGGAATAGATGGAGGATTCTTTGTTGCCCTACTCGAACGCTCTACAGGTTCTGTCGAGGATCCGGTAAGGCTGTCCGCGTTTGTACCCGCTACAAGGTTCCGCGGATTCGATTCCACATGCTGGTGTCTGGCTGATTCGCTTGAGAACAAATCCGCGTTAGTAGCAATCTCCGCTTGTGTCTTAGCGTGCGTCCTCTCTCTCGCCCCAGCCACCAGCTCACGAAACGACACCAGCTCTCTCATTGCAGGCGCGGGATAATCCCATACCTTCGCCTCAGGCTCGGGCGCCCTGGGTCGGACCGGTCCTGGAGAACTGCTTCGGAAGTGCGGCCGAGTGAAAAAGCCCGTCACTCGCGCAGCAGCCGCGGAAAAGGGACCTGCGGAGCCTGCGCCTGCGCCTGCGCTGGCAGCGGCGGCGGGGGCAGCGCCCCCCGGGTCGGGGGCAGGGCCGGGGGAACGGGGCTGGCGCGGGGAGTCTTGCGCATCGGGGGAGAACCAGCGCCAGGGGCGGTGTGGGGAGCGCGACCGAGAGCGGGAGCGGGAGCGCGCGCCAGAGGGGGAGGCGGAGCGCGCGGGATTGGGGGAGCGGGAACGTGGGCGGAAGTTGAGAAAGGGGATGGGAACGGCGAGGGGTGGAGGGACGTTCGGGGGAGGTGCCGGGGGAGGGGTGGTTCGGGCGAGACTAGGAGCGCGGGAGGTGGGAGGGTTGAACTCCTGATAGCTGCAGGATGGTGGGCGAGGAACGGGGAAAGACACGAGAGCGACGACGACAGACACAGGAGTAAGGCCACGTGGGACAGGCGAAACAGGAAGGAGAGGGGGGACAGGCGAAACAGGCGAAACAAGCGGGACAGGCGAAACAGGAAGGAGAGGGGGGACAGGCGAAACAGGCGAAACAAGCGGGACAGGCGAAACAGGAAGGAGAGGGGGGACAGGCGAAACAGGCGAAACAAGCGGGACAGGCGAAACAGGAAGGAGAGGGGGGACAGGCGAAACAAGCGGGACAGACGAAACAGGCACAGGGATAAAGCAGTGAGGAAAGGGAAAGAAAGAGTGGGCGCGACTGGGAGGAGCAGGCGATATCGCAAGGTGCGCGGTGAACTGACAGGATAACCAGAGAATCACACAGGCGACACCCCACATCACGCATTCCATACCCGCATATCCGTCGCGTACCCGTCGTAAACCTGTCGCATATCCGCCGCACACCTGTCGCCCCACGCACCTGTGTCGCTTCCGCCTTCTCGACAAGTCTGAACCATCACCCTCGCGTTGCGAATCGCCACGTGGAGACTGCTTGCGCTGGCCGTCCCATCCTTGCGTGCCACGTGAAGCCACCCTTTCGCCAACACCGCTTTCGCGAGGCCAATCAGACTCATCTCTAACCCTACTGCGTCTCCGAGCTGTGTCGATCGATAAGTTAGGGCGACCCGGCACGTCACGAGCGAGCGGCCATCCGAGAGGCGACGGCTCCCCAGGGCCGATAGCTCCTTGGCTAATGGAATCCGCTACGATACCTGCAGCCATTCCTTCCACAGAATCTAGACGCGCTTCGGCCTATGGTAGCAGCGCAATAACTTAGCTAACAGGGACGGAAAACTCATCTGAGCAGGTTAATGACAGAACCCGAGCAGTGTAACTGAAGCAGGAAAATGACGGCTGCTCCCTCTCATTTGCGCAAAACGTGACGCCCTATCACTCAAGTGTCGTCGTGAGGTCAACAGGGAGCCGCTAGAGTTCACCTAGCAGTCAATTCAAGAAAGAATAAAGTAACTTGGCACAGCGTTACTACTAGGTATCCGAGTATATACCATCAGACAGCACACTACTTATCCGCTACAACCGCTATTGCCTGAACATCTGAAATGCCTGGAAAGCTGACTTCCTAGAATCCTCATCCGCCACTCCCTTGGTCCCACTGACAGCGAGACGAGCGAGTGACGGGCGGACTCGTTCACGGGGCCAGCGAAATTGTTCTCGAGATCTGCGCTTCCCCCCTTGTTTCCGAGCCAAGCAGACGGGGCGAGCGGGATTTGGCCTTCACCAATCAGGCTTGTGGAGAGAGGGGCGTAGCGACCGACGTGCGACACGGCAGGTTTGGGAAAGGGCGGCGGCGTAGCTTGGGTCGTATGGCGAAACTGCAAAAACGAGCTGGAAATAAAAGTATGACATAATTGTGATAATTTAAGTTTTATCAGTGTTTGGTCTAGTGGCATGATTCTCGCTTAGGGTGCGAGAGGTCCCGAGCTCAATTATCAGAACACCCCTTTTCTCTCAGGCCCTTTTTTGTTCTGCAGAATTTTGACAATGACCTCTCTTGCTTTTGAAAGAGAGGTAGAGCCTACAACCTTTGGGTACAGGCTTACAAATGGGGTACCTGTCCACGTTATTCTTGGCTCTTCTGTTGTGAAGGCACTGCATATGCAGTCAGAAATTAACGTTTACTGTGAACTTGCTTAACACAATGCACATTGTCCTATTATCAACCATTAGCCTGAAACACCATGTATCGCATCATCGCTACAGGGTTAGCCTTGAGGAATCTCTTACTATGCACACCCTCCTGCCCTGCCTTCTCCTTTCCTCCGTCTCCCACATCACCTCCAGAAGTCCCCAAGCACAGCCTCTTAGCAGCAGGCTCCTCCCCGCTCGCCCCAAGCTGCTGCTGCTGCTGCTGCTGCTGCTCAGGAGGACTCCTCCCGAGATAATCCACCACCTGGTTACCACCACTGCCTGGCGGCCTCTTGTGCTGCCCTGCCGCTGTACCAGCAGCTTGAGTGTCAACTGTGGTAGGGACAGTCGCAGCAGCTGTAGCAGCGGCTGTAGCTGCAGGGCCAGCAGCTGCAAGCGCTTGCTGCAGGAGAGGAGGGGAGGTGGAACCAGAGGCGGACTGTAGCGGGAGAATGGGCAGAGAGGGGACAGCTCTACTGTGGTCTAACCCGCCTTGCCTGCCTGCTACAGATGGAACAGCAGCAGCTGTGGCAGCTGCAGCACGGAAGTTTTCCCATCCAGTGCTGTGCCCTACTGCCTGTCCTGATCCTGTGCCTGGCGCACCGGCCAGCCATGCCGCTTGCCGCTGCTTCTCCATCCGCTCTGCACCATCCACTCCTGCTGCCAGTGTTGCTGCTCTACTGTGGTCTAACCCGCCTTGCCTGCCTGCTACAGATGGAACAGCAGCAGCTGTGGCAGCTGCAGCACGGAAGTTTTCCCATCCAGTGCTGTGCCCTACTGCCTGTCCTGATCCTGTGCCTGGCGCACCGGCCAGCCATGCCGCTTGCCGCTGCTTCTCCATCCGCTCTGCACCATCCACTCCTGCTGCCAGTGTTGCTGCTCCTCCTGGTGGTGCCGGTGGTGCAAGGGTCATTTCACATCCCGCTTGAGAGAACGAAGGGGCTGCAACCTGGGGGACGGTGGAAGGCAACGAGAGAAGAGAGGCAGCAGCTGCGCCAGCGCCAGACGAACCGGGTGCTGGAAACGCTTGTGGTGTTGGCACCGCTTGCAGTGCTGCTGCTGCCATTGCTGGTGCGGGTGCTCCCACTGCCGGTGCAGACGCTGCTGCAGCTGCCGCAGCTGCTGCAGCGGCCATTGCCGCAGCTATTGTTGCCTGGTCAGGCCACCCGGGAAAACCCCCCGCCCCCACACCAGCGCCACCAACAGCACCAGCAGCAGCAGCACCTGCACTGCTTGCCGATGCAGCTGCAGCAGCAGCGGCAGCGGCAGCAGCAGAGAACGCGGCTGCATCGGGGAAACCCGAAGCGGAGGCGGATCCGGGCCAGTGTGCTTGTGGCGAGGCGTAGGGCCACTGGCCGAGGTGACTATACGGGGAGGCGGAGAAGGGAGAGCGCAAGGACGCAGCAGCAAGGGAAGACCCGAGGTGTGCTTGTTGCTGCAGCTGCTGCAGCTGCTGCAATTGCTGCTGCTGCTGCAGTTGCTGAAGCTGTTGCAGCTGCTGCCGTTGGTAGTGCTGCTGTTGCTGCTGCTGCTGCTGCTGTTGCTGCAGGTGCAGAAACTGCTGCATCTGGAATTGAGAAAACGGCTGCACTGCCGAACCCCCAGAAGCAGCTTGAGCAGCCATGGCAGCGGCGGCTGCTGCGACCGCAGACGCCATTTCCTGGCCCGCAGCGGCGGAGGACATTCCTTGGCCGGGCGCCGCCGCAGCAGCAGCAGCCGCAGCCGCGGCCGCGTACTCGGAAGCAGCGCCCCCCATGCCCGCGCCCATGCCCGTGCCCATGCCCATGCCCATTCCGCCCATCCCCGGAAAGATACTCGCAGGGACGTGCCCCGCGCCCGCCGCCAGTGCCATGGTCCGCGCAGCGGCCGCCGCTGCCACATTGGCGGGGGAAAGTCCCGCGGAGAGGCCCGGGGAGTATGGGGGAACGCCATGGCGCAAGAGTTCCGCCTGAGAAAATGCGGCGCCGCTGGGGAGCAGCGGGGAAAGGGCAGCGGAGGCAGCTCCATGCGGAGAAAGCGCGGCGGGGGGGATACCGTAGGCTGCAGGTAACGCCGCGGAGGGCACGGAGAGAGCGTGGGACGCGCCGGAAAGAGCGGAGAGAAAGGGACTGGCGACACCTGGCATCAACGGATTGGTTGCCGCTACGGCAGGTGAATGGACTGCCGTCGCTGCTGCCGCCGCCGCCGCCGCTGCGGCGAGCAGCGCTGCTGGCGAGACGCCGGCGGCTGGATCGCCAGCGGCGAGAGCTTGAGCCTGGGCTTCCTGATGCGACGCCTGGTGCTGCTGGTTACCCTGTTGCTGTTGCGGGTGTGACAAAACCTTGCTTTTTCGCCGGCCCGAGCCCACGGGCACGTTTCGCAGATTGCCACCGGCCGTCCAGTAGCGCTGGCAGGCTCGGCAGAAGTGGCGCGGCTGGTTCGGATTGTAGTTGTTGAAGTAACAAAACTTGGTAGCGAGACTCTTGCAACGGGGACAAGGCAGCGGGGTGGTTGGACGCTTCAACTCGCAACCTCCTTCCCCCTGCTTCTGCCCCTCCCCCTCCTGCTGCTGCAGCTCCCGCTCCTGCTCTTCCTGTTTCGCCCGCTCCGCTGACGCGTCTTGAGACTCGGAGCTCTCCTCCCGGTCGTCGTTCCCCTCTGCTTCCTCGCGCTCCTCTCCTCTATTCTCTGCAGCAGTGGCGGCCGCGGCGGTTCTGCGAAATTCATTCGAAGTCTGATGAATCGCGGAATCGAGAATAGCGTTATCTTCGGCACGGGGTCGAGGCCCTTGATGAAGAGACGACGGTGGAGATTGATTTGCGTCGCACGCCAACGGCTGGGATGAGACGGGCGAGTTTGGCGCGCTACCGTTGTCGATTAATCTACCGAAGAGACGGAATCCCGGATCCGCTGCGTCTAAAACGGGACCGGCTATTGTTGCCATGACGCTGTTCGATATCCAAATCTACTCGACTAGGAACATTCCACTTTTGCCTTTCTTGTCTTACGAGTTAATCTTACTTGGTCATGTAAATGTGAGCAGAAGCTTGTGTGTCTGCGTGTGACTTGCAATTGGCAAGATGAGTGACGAGGCGTAATCTCTGCTACGGCTAAACGTGGAGCTGAGATATAGGCACGAGTGAACGATTCGCTGAACCGCAAGCGGACTAGCAACACTGGATGACGCTAGAAATCGGTGTTTTGGCTACCCGTGCATGCTCTGCCCGACCCTGCCTGAACCACGCACCGAATACACCACTCGCGCGGGCAGGTGGGAGATATTGCTGCTCTATGGAGATAGAGCAGGAATAGAGCTCGTCAGACAGGATTCTGACCGGCAGGGCAAAGACGAGGGGAGGACGCATGCGAGGTTCTCGCATAGCCAAGGCTTGGAGGGAGGAGAGAGGGGGAGAGAAGCGGTGGATCACTCTCTGACCAGCGGAGATAGCGCGTGCAGTCTCGAGGTTGGGGGAAATTGCGTACACCCTGTTTCTCACTACACTGAACTGTGCCGAACTGGTGGAAAACCTTGTTATCTTCGATTTGTCTGATTGAACCATACGGAGACTTAATCTAACCACCGTTAACCGTGCTTTTCCCATCTTGATTTCACTATAACCGAGTTCACAATGGCGAGAAAGAGGGTGTATGCTTTTTCAGGCGCGCCCGGGGGCGATTCTCCGCCGTGCAATGGGACGGTTGTTGGGGATTCTGCCTTGGTCCCCCCGCGCTGCTTCGTTGGCTTGCGTGGCCATGGTTGTCTGGTGGCTGTGCTGCTCCTGGTGCCAACGTTCTGCCCGAAAGAAATCTCGTTTGCCTGTCTACCCTGCCCTGGCAGCTCAAGAGCCACGTAAAGAAAAGCTCGATGTGGAGGTGTCGGAAAGTGCGGTTGAGTTGCGTTGCCAATCCGCGGGAAATCCGTGGATTACTGCTGACGCGTGTAAGAACCACTCTTCTTGTGTGTGATTGGTAAAGGTGAAAAGAATCTCCCGTGTCCTCTGCACAGGAGGTCAGCCTCGTATTCTGAGGGACAGATAAAGATTTTCGCAAGGGATCTGGAGACCACGCAAAGGCTGCGCTTTTCCCGAAAAGAGACAGTAGTGCGGATGATTTTCCTCCAACACAGACCGCGTTTGGGTGCAGCGATGATCGACCAGGCACTTTTCCATGCCAGATCAGCAGATGAACTGCAACCACAAATCAGGATGGAGACCTCACGTGGCAACGCCTAGAACATTCAAGAGTGTCGAACGTCCACCCTGGCTCAGTAGAAGATATCAAGTAATCATTACAATAGAAGCTTCGGAAGGTGGCGTTCTCTCGCATTGATGAAGATTCGACAGGGGCAGCTAAAATGAAGTCCCAAATTCGTAAAAAACATTACAAGGAGCTCGATTGGACTAGCCTTGTAAAGGCAAAATAGACTATGACCTGCCTATTTTCCCAGAAACACGAATCGTTACGTATATTTTAGACATCGCAAAGCTCCAGCGGCGGGCAGAAGAAGCTGGCATAGGAATGGCAAAATGGAACTGGATGGTGCGTGAAGCTGCCTGCTGGCGTGGATGAGTATGGATATCAAACCTGTGGACACAAATGCTCTTTTACAGCAAAAAGCATATCGAACTTTGTGGCCATTTGGAGATTACGCGTGCAATAGATGCAAAATGACATGGCGCACATGCTCAAAGTGAAAGAACTAGTTGTAGAGCCAATAACGCGAAGCCACATGCGTCCAGCAGTAGAATCTGTCAAGTGAAAAGTTAAAAGCTGGCGAGAAACATGTTGGCTGGGCCAGTTGACGCCCGATATTCTGGATGGGTCAGTGAACATTGATCCGACAAAAATGCTTCTGACAACGGTCATCAGTGCAGTAATTTAACGTATGAATCACCATTACAAAGAGAATCAGTTGCCCTCTGATAGGTGATTACAAAGAGAATGTAATATACCAGATGGAGGTGTGCATGAGGGAAACCAATGTCAGATGTGTTTTATGCACAAGATACCTATGCCAAGGGGACCTGTACTAGTTTCAATTACATGGCATTGTGGAATGTCCAAGGTTCGGTTGGCTTGGGGGACATGCCATGCGGACAACGTTGAGTGGTAAATGGTGAAAGATCAATTGACGGCTGGTGAAACCAGGAAATTCACATGTCTGACAGTTGCTGGTTGCATGTGGTAACTTGACCGAAAAGAGAGCATAAACAAAAACACAATCAGTTCAGTGGTCACCGTTGCCGATGTTGATCTTGGTCAATGGAACGGTACGAGTCATTGCACATGGCAGCAGCATGGAATGTTGGGTTGCTTGCGGTGCTGAAGAAGAGTATTGAGGGAGAAGTCCAGTAACCGGTAGTGCTGGTTAAGTTTTACGTCATCTCGCTGACGTGGTCCTTGTGATGCTAGCTTGCCATGGGAACTGGACATTGGGTTGAAAAAGTCCAGCAGACTGGTCGGTCTAACAGATGGATGGACCGGAAGCTTGTCAAGCAAGACGGGCAGGGCACAGCAATGGCCCAACAAAACATTCTCAAAGACCAATTACCGCCTACGGTGCTTTTCCTTCGATGCGGTGAACTCCCTCTCTGGCATCCACAAAACAAGTCAGAATATAAATGTGCAAATCGAGACAAGAGGAAGACCAAGCAGGGAAAAGTGCTCACCTCGTGGGACAGGTTGCCGACCACGCCCACCGCCACGGCCACCTGCAGAAGGATCGCAACTCATGACATTATTGCCTAAAGTAAGAAGTGCTAAAAGCAGTAAACAACACCCGTCACGCTCAGGATCAGATCAAGTTTCACAAAGCAGAATTCATGCTTGCTTGTGTACTTACCGTAAGGTTCACGGTTGCGCCGGCCTTCATCGCGAAACGACCGATCGCGTTCCACATCACGGTCACCATCCCTATCTCTGTCGCCATCCCGGTCCCTATCTCTCCGATCCCGATCCTTGCGGTCCCCATCCCCACCCCGGTCATCCCTCTCTACCTCCCTCTTGTCTCTGTTCCCATCCTTCCTGTCCCTCTCACGCTCAACTTCCCGGTTGGCACGCTCTCGCTCCCTCCGCTCCCGTTCCCTCTCACGCTCACGAGCCCACTCCCGATCCCGCTCCCTGTCCCTCTCTTTCTCCCTCCCACCCTCCATATCCTGCTGCCGCTCTTTCTCCTTACCGTCCATGCCTGCTTTCCCAATTCCCAACCGCTGCTGCGCTCCCTTTTTCTTCTCCAGGTCTCGCTTCAGCTGCTCCCTCAGCTTCATCTCTTTCAGTGCCAGCTCTTTCTCCCTTCTCTTGCTCACCAACGTTTTCTCTCCATCTGACTCTGACTCGTCCTTCTCTGTGCGCTCTGGATCCCCACCATCTCCTGTGTCTCTCATGTTTCTCCTCCGCTTGCCAGGCTGGCCCTGCACACCACGGTCACTGTCGGGGCTAGAGGATCGCTTGACCACTTTCCGTGGAGACTCTCGCCTTTTGCCCGCCTCTGCTGCTGGATCATCCCCAGAGCTTGGCTTTGTGGTGGCAGGGGACCCAGGTTCAACAACAGCTGTAGCCGGTTTTTCAACATCAGGAGCAGGGGCAGGGGCAGGGGCAGGGGCAGGAGCAGCAGCTGCAGCCGCATCAGCATCAACTAGCGCTGGCATCGATTCGGCAGGTGGTGGGGTGGGCGCAGAAACAGGTGCAGCATGTTTCAAAACTCCGGGAAGCTCCTGTGTATGAGAAGAATGGCAAAAGTGAGAATTCAGACATAGTAAACTGTCAAAAAGGGTCATGACAGAGAGTATGTGCGAGAAATGCAGCAATGGACAAAGGAGGGAAGGGCGGAATGCGTGGTGGTTTCTACCTGGGGATCAGGCGGGGGCTCCCATCCTCTCGTGGTGAGCACAAACGGCTTGGCATCCTTGCCCTTGGCGACCTCGACGTACTGCGCCTTGGGCCGCCTGTACAACTCCGCCAGCGCCCTGCACACCTCGTCAATGCCCTCCTTTGAGGCGTCGAATGCCAGCCACCAGGGCGGGTTCTCTGGCAGTGGTATGCGAGCCCGCCTCGTTGCTGCGTAGATCACCCCGCATGCCACAACCTCGCTCTTGAACCGCACACACAGCACCGTCCGCAAACTGCATGGTCATAAAGAGCTGGTCAGAACGGAACAACTCTATGAGTGCCCATTAATCAACATTGACATGTATAAAGAGCGATGCTGCACCTGTCATTGGCGAGGTTCCAGGCCTCGTGCTTGACAGCATCATCGAGCACGTCGAGCTGTCGCAGGTAGTTGAAAATGAACTTGTGGGGATGCTCCACGTGGCAGATGAACCCCATCTCCTTCAGAATGTGTCTTTCCGTTCGTATCAGCTCCGTGCGCAAGTCCTCATAGTTCTGAAGGATTACAGTGTAATTCTATTAGCCTAGGCACAGTAAACAGGGTATATAACATACAGCTCCATTGACAGGAGATAGGGAAGTGAGGGAGCAAGAAAGGAGGGGGGCGAGTGAGCGAGCAAGCAAGGGAGGGAGAAGGGGGGGTGGGGGAGCCGGTGGCATGAGTAGGGAAGGCGGGCAAGAGGGTTTTTGAGGTAGAAGCGCACCTTTGAGAACTGCTCTAGGGGAACTAACGGGAGGTTGTCACGCCTTAAGTTAATCCGGTGGAAGACGTTGAGCACGTCGCGAATTCGCCGAGGATTCTCCTCAAGCTTCGACGCGAGCCACA